CAGTCTGGGCGATAGAGTGAGACTCCAACTCAAAAAAAAAAAAAGAATCTGAGGAGGATCCTTTTTTTATCAGCCCTTTTGAAGTTCTATCTCTAGGCCAGGCCCAGTGGCTCATGCTTGTAATTTCAGCACATTGGGAGGCCAAGGTGGGAGGATTCCTTGAGCCCTGGAGCTCAAGATCAGCCTGGGCAACATAGTGAGTTCTCTACAAAAAATAAAAAAAATTAGCTGGGCACGGTGGCTGATGCCTGTAGTCCCAGCTACACAGGAGGCTGAGGTGGAAGAACTGCTTGAGCCCAGGAATTGGAGGTTATGGTGAGCCATAATCGTGCCCTTGCATGCTAGCCTGGGCAACAGAGTAAAACCTGACAGAAGAGGGTTGGGGTGTTCTATCTATCTCCAAATCAAAAGAGGAGGAAACAGGGTTCTATAAGAAAACAACCATCTTTTTAGCTTTTCCCAAGGTGTCAAGAGGTCCAGAGGAAAGGATCTGATCATTGAGTACTCTTGTATATAAGACATAGGCCTATGCATCCTATTTTGTTTTTTGCAATAACCCTGTGAAGTATTTTAAGAACAATGGTCCAGCCGGGCTCGGTGGCTCAGCCTGTAATCCTGTGCTTTGGGAGGCTGAGGTGAGTGGATTGCCTGAGCCCGTGGATTTGAGACCCACCTGGGCAACTTGGCGAGACCTCATCTCTACAATAAATCAAAAAATTAGCCGGGTGTGGTAGCGCACGCCTGTAGTTCCAGTTACTTGTAAGGCTGAGGCGGAAGGATCGCTGGAGCCCAGCAGGTCGAGGCTGCGGTAGCCAGGAGTGTGCCACTGCACTCCAGTCTGGGCGACAGAGTGAGACTCCAACTCAAAAAAAAACCCCAAAAACAACAATGGTCCAAAGAGATGAAGCATCTTGCTCAAGGTCACACAGCCAGTATGAAAACTTGAACCTGGGACTCTCAGACCTCAAAGACTTTGAATGACCCTATTCTGCGGCTAGAGTGAATGACCTGAGAGAAAAACAAGACCAAACTGAATTCTCCTGTTGGCCTGGGTATGTGCCCAGGGGGTGTGTGACGATAGGTAGGTCTCTTTCTCTGTCCCTGGGGGAAGGAAGAGCCTGATAGAATACATGTTCAATTATGCAAAATGGCTCAGGAATGGGGCAGTCTGGTTAATAGTTATCATATTTCTCATGAATGAATTACCATTTTTAAAGGAATCAGAGTAGCACAAAACACATTTAATATAAACTAGACTGAACATAAATGAGTCTTACTTTGATGGGCCAAAGGCACTTAAGTACTCTGGGGGGTCTCCAGGACAAAATTATAAAGCTCAAAGATGACTGTGCAACATAGAAAAAAATTGGGGTTATTTTAGCCTTGGGGTTGTTTGAATTCTAAATTAATGGGAGACTGGTTTGGTTCTCATTTTTTACATAGAATTCTGGGCACCCAGTGCTAAAGGTCTGCCGTTAGGCAAAGGAATGCCTGGCTTTGTGGAAAGACAGTGGGTTATTTTGTGGGCAGAGGGGGCGAGGCAGATGCCAGGGCTGGGATCCAGATGCAATGAGGCACTGCTGGAGAGCCCCAGGCCCTAAGGATAACTACTTAATCGGGGCCCTGTGCTCCCTCCCATTCCCTCACCTCCTGAGTGGGGGCTCTAGCCCCCACCCCCACATTCCTGTGCCTGCCAGGCAGACACCTGGATAAATAACAGGCAAGTTTCCATGCAGTTCTGTCAAGACTGGGCAGTGGCAGAGGCAGCAGGGAGGCTGCGAACTCCATCTCCCTCTCTTTCCAGGGCTGTGGATCCACATGATCCCCCAGCTTCTGCCCTGGGTGCTCTTTAGCCAGTCTCCCAGTGGCTTCTACTGCTGCGGACATCAGGGAGCCCACAGCAGGCTGCTACCCACCCCCCGGGGCAAGAGTTAGGGCTGGCAATTTCAACATTTTAACCAAATTGTTTAAAAAGCTTTCCTCCCCACAAGCCAGTGTCTCCTGTTCAGCGCTGTCACAAACAATTTGGTATATAAGCTAATTCCCGCTGGGAGAGCCCAGGGTGGCAGCTCCCCTCCCCTCGACTTTGCTATGGATGCTGCATCCGTGTTCCGAATTCTTGCAGGTCCTTATCACCAGATGGGAAGCTAAGCTCCAGCTCCAGCCCTGCCCCCACCCCAGCAGTTTCTCCACCCCAAAGCCACTTGATGCTGAGTGCTGGAGGGGTTCTCCTTCCCCAGGTCTTTTCTCTCTGGCTCCATGTTGGTTGGCTAGGTTCTCGGGATCCAGTCCTGGGAGGTGGTGGTGTATAGGGTTTCAGGACTACTCCTATTTTCCTGGTGGGCAAGAGAAACCGTGCTGGTGGTTGGTGCAAGAAGCAGGCTTCCTCTCTTTTTGTTCTTGCTGGTTGTGGGGTCAAGGGTGACAGTGGGCCAAGGAGGGCATTGGGGTCTGAAATCTGCTGGTCATCAGTCAGTGTGGGATGGCCTGGCTAGGCCCACGTACCCCTCTGGGGATAGAGGCGCAGTGTGCAGAATAGGCCTGGCCTGCCTTGCTTTCCAAACCATCCCCCCTTGGTCCATCAACTGACTTCTTGCTCTGGTGATGTGGGGCACTTAGCATGGCGGCCAAGGGGAAGACTGAGATGGCAGAACAAATATTTTAACTCCTGTTTTTTCTCACTATGGAGCTGACAATGGTTCCCTAGTACAATCGAGAGGCTTCTTGTTCTTCCTAGAGCACCCAGTAACCATCTGCCTTATGGAGGTAGTGACAAAGCAGGGTTGAGCCCTTGGGCTTGGTTTTAGGGCAGCTTAGGCCAGAGGAATGAGTTGCCCATGAACCTGGTCTGGGTTAAAGCTCCTCCTCCCCCATTCCACCCTTCTAATTCCCAGTCTTATCCCCCATCTCCAAATAGCTGCAGGTAAAATTCACTTCCACTCACTTCATTCCTTAAAAGGATCTTAAATCAGCCCCTTACTAGCCCATCCAAGGTCAGCATACATGTCCAGCTCTCCACGGCACAAGCATGCAACAGGTGTGTATTAGTTCATGCATCTGGTAAACAAACGCCTGTGCCCCAGGGGTTGCACTCCGGACTCCTAACTCCTGGGAAGCAGCAAGCATGCCCTGGGAGGGCACCAGGCCGAAAACAGCTTCACACAACCAGGGTGAACCAAAATGTCACCACCCACCA